AATTTTACATTAGACGTAGCAAAAATCAAAGAAGTAGAAAGTTTAAAATTCCTAGGTGTAAACATTGACAAAGATACAAACTGGAAAACCCATATAGATATGTTAAGTCATAAAATAAATAAATTTGTGTATGCTCTGAAAAGCATAAAAAACTTAACCAATAAAAAAACCGCCTACATAGAATCTATCCTTCGGTATGGAATTATACTCTGGGGTAATAGCACGGATAAAAATAGAGCCTTTATTGCACAAAAGAAGTGCATTAGGGCAATATGTGGAATCCCGCCAGACAAATCGTGTAGACCATTATTTGAAAGTCTTGGATTGTTGCCGCTGCCATCGCTGTACATATATGAATTAGCAGTGTTTGTCCACGGGCACAAGCAGTTGTTCAAGAGGGTCAATAATTTCCGGCTTGGAGACCCTTACAGAATGATATTTAATGAGGTCCCAAGGTCTGACAAATATAGGAAAAGTTGCTTATGCCTTGTGTCGAGATCTATAATAAAATCCCTCCCGAAATGAAAATGCTAAATATGAACATGTTTAAAAATAAATTATATAAATGGCTAAATGAAAACAATTTTTATGACCTAAAAAGTTTTTTCAATTATAAAAATTAATGAAGTGTTTTAACTTATCCTATAATAATTATGATAAATGTATCTTTTTAATTTTTTTTATATCTGACATTTAGAAATCTCGTAATATTAATATGTTGACATTGTATATTTTATTGACATAATATTAGGTAACTCTGACATTCATAATTCTACAGAAAAATGTTATAATTAATTAATCTCTTTTTTTATTGGTTCAATTTTATATATTTGCATGCTATTTTTAAAATGGCAAAACACGTGCTCAATCCGTTATGTAATACCTATATACCGTGTTTTTAGCAAATAAAGATTATGATTTATAAATAAATTCAAAGATAGTACAAAAAAGCTAATTACGAAGTGTCTGATTATATTAAGGACAAAAATGCTTGGTTTTGAACTGTTCCAATCATTCCAACTGGTTTTCTATATAAAATAAATCATGATTGTATTGATGCTGTAACAACATAATGATTTGTAAATGTTATGGTATTTTTTATTACTCGCGCACTATTTCGTTCAATTGAATTATCCTTTTTTCATAGAAATTATAAATCTTCAGCCATTACAGTACAATATTTATACATTGCTATGGCAGTCACTCAAATCACTGTAAATTTTACCATGTCCTTTGGAAAACGTGGTAATTTGTACAAGTAACATTCAGGGTGTCACAGGCATTCTATTTGCAGGTCTACTAATTTATTAGATTCATTTTTGAGGGAAATATCTTGAACTGTTTTTTCATATAATAGTATCTTCTCCATACACATTGTTAATCATTCGAGTTTATTCTACATTCTGCTGTGACAGAATTCAAATTTGAGAGTACCTCTGTACACTCAGAGGCACAATTAACCGCCCACTTACATTTTTCAGAGTAATTTAAAAAAATCATTTAATAATGTTTTTTTTCTTAACAATCTAATAAATTGGATAATTTTAATTTTAATAAGTGCAAAAATTCAGTTGCTGTTGCTTTAATTTATTTATCTACTCTGATACTATAATACAAAGATTCTAAAACTGAAAACAAAATGCTTATGACAAACATTACGTACAGGCCAAAAATAATAAAAAAATGTTTAATTACGATACAGGTCTTGTATGGAGACCTGTAACATAATATAACTTTTTAATCATAATGATACACCTATACAACCTCCAGCTGGACCAAGGAGGTTGAACCTCTACTTTAAAAAGGTTTCAATGAACGAGTCCGCGACGACGCAACACGCATGCGCAATCGATGTTTGCACCTTGGCGCCAATATTTGACATTTAAAAAATCTTTTCAATATTTAAACAAAGTTTGGTTTTGTTTGTAAAATACATAAGTTTTTGTGTGTTTTTACACTGTCTGAAAGCGGGGATAGTGGTGATTGTACACCACCAGACATTCTGGAAGCTGCGTCAAACATGACCCTGTTGCCGGCGAAATCTAGGAGCAACTATAATAAATGTTACCACGATTTCATGGAATGGAAAATGAATAAAAATGCTACATCATTTTCTGAAAATGTGTTGTTAGCGTACTTTCAAGAGTTATCTGAAAAATATAAAGTGTGAGGCATTGTCCTAATACAACGCGATAACGCGATCATCGCGCGTTTAAACGATGCGACCATCGCGTGATCGCGAACTGGGTGTCCTAATAGAACGCGAATACGCGATCACGATTGACACACAGTTTGGTCGGGTTAGCCCTGCCCTTCTCCCCGCTTCCTATCGACGCGACGCGATCATCGCGCGAACTTCAGTTAGGACACCTATTCATCATTAATAGGTTTGATTGCGCGTTCGCGCGAACTATGTTCCCGCGAATAGATTTTTAAACATTTTAGTCGCACGAATGCATCGCTCGGTCGCCTATTAGGACACCTATTCTAGATCAATATGTTTGATCGTCGACTCGTACGATGATCGCATCGCTCATTCGCGTTATCGCGTTGTATTAGGACAATGCCTCAAGTATGTGAGTTAAATAGTACATGATTAAAAGTACACTCAATATTTACAACGAAGTTGACATAACTAAATATAGCAAGCTGATTGCATTTTTGAAACGAAACACAAGGATATAAAGGGAAAAAATCCAAGACTTTTACAGCAGAGCAGATAAATAAGTTCTTTAATGAAGCTCCAGACACATTATATCTCTTCACAAAGGTATTTTAGTTGTTTATCAGTTAACCATGTACTTTTTTTTTGTTAATACTGAGTTAATTTACCGTAATATATATATATATATATACATATATGAGTTGTTACAGATTGCACTAATTTTTGGTATAATGGGTGCTTGCCGACGGCAACAGTTATACAACATACAATTCAAAGATGTTGAAGTCTTCGAAACTACACTATTGATCGAAATAAGTAAAACTAAATCCAAGACGGACCGCTCTTTTACCGTTACTGGGAAATATTATGAACAATGTAAAAAATACATAGAGCTACCACCAACTGAGTGCAGCAATTCCAGTTTTTTTCTAAACTATATTGCCGGAAAATGCACGACGCAGAGAGTTGGCATTAACAAATTTGGAGCTTTAGGCAAAGTTATTGCCAGCTATCTTCAACTTACCGACCCCGAATTGTACACTGCTTTCGCCGAACATCTGCCACCTTGCTAGTTGACGCTGGTGGAGATATAACGGCACTAAAGCGACACGGTGGCTGGAAGTCAACGACAGTTGCAGAAGGCTATATAGATGATTCAATGTATTGAAAATAACAGAAATGAGGTCAACATTAACATACCCTCTCTGAGTATCTCCAATAACGCTTCCTGTCCGGTTCAAATTCAGTTTCATAATTGTAATATTCAGAACATAAATAATTATTACAAGTATTGTAATAACGTTCACTTACATTTCGTACCTCAAATAGGCGATTACGAGCCTCCGGAGCTGTAGTGAAGCGATTTCTTAAAACATTGGATACAATAAAGAGGTCATCTCTCTGGTTCGACCTTGTCCGGGTCTTCTGGTGTAAGATCCAATTTCTCGGTATCGTCGGATGGCATCTCGTATCGTGGTTTGAGGAAATCCTAGCATACGGCCTATACGACGCTGGCTATACCCAGCATCAGAAAACGCCACCGCTTTAGCTTCATCAACTGCACCCAATGGCATTTTACTGAGTAATGGTGGCCATACACATTAGGTTTTGCATGATGGTTTTAGCCGTGCATGCATAACCGAGTTTCATATTGCACATACACGTTAGGGTTTGCATGTACAGTTTTGATATTACTCTCAGTTGAGCTACGTGACGGTGTGTGTAGAACGCCTATTAAGTACTGTGAATGGGATTTTTTTTTAATCACATCTTCTTTCGTAGCTGTGGGCACTAATTCCTTGACCTTAGTTATCAATCTCTGGTATTCTTTGCACTTTACGCCAAAGACAAGGTTCCGACTTATAACTTTCTATAAATTCTTCTAATGTTGCATTGCGCTTGCAACTAGCCATTTTCGAAACGACGTTATGATGCTCGGACCTTCCGCCGTCGCAACAATTAAAAACTGAGAACTGTGACAGGCAAGCTCGCCGGACGCCACACACGCTCGGTTATGCTCGCGCGCATGCATAACCGAGCGGCATAAAATATAAATTTTGATATTTGTTCGGTTGCATGTACATGCACCGATAACTGTACAGTTTTATCACATACACGCTAGGGTTTGCATGTCGGTTATGCATGTACACGCATAACCATCATGCAAAACCTAGTGTGTATGGCCTCCATAAGAAGCAAATGACAAATTCTGCACAACTTAAGAACAAAGAAATTTGTTTAAAAACTTCACAAACAACACTTTATTTACACGCAAAACAATCAGTTCGAAAATTAATATTCGACTGAATTCAATAAAAGAGACCCATACTTGAGGGTTTCTTTAAAAAAAAGCTAATAATTCTCTCATTTTACCATAAACTACCCACTTACCAAATTGTCATTCAACGTCATAAGCGTTTCGCTATTTTACAATAACAAAGATATGCCACTTTAGCCGGGTGGGCGGTTAATTGTGCCTCTGAATGTATTTTAGTTTTCCAAATAGGCGCCAACTCGACATTCAAGCGATTCTATGCTAGAAGCCACGTCACCTGACCTTTGACAACACGCTCAACAGTCTCGCTACGAGATCGCCAATCGGGCGTGCCACTACTTTACGCCACATGATGTAAAAAGTATTGTGTATCAGGTGGTGTGAACAAGTGCACCAGAAGGTTCTATATCGCGAAAAGTAGTCCACAAAAAAGTCTATACTATGCAGAGTGATCTCTCTAACCGCACGCACATAAAGAAACCCATATCACTTACAAAGAAAGTATCGATGCCTTTATAAAAATAAATGTCACAGCAGATGTTTTATTGACTTTGTGTACAGATCAAAAATGTCGAACAACGGCAGGAAGCGCGCCGCTAATGCCGGCGGGCGGCCCGCGAAGATTCGAAAACCGAAGGCCCTGAGCGAAGACGAAGACAGCAACGACTCGTTTTTGTCCGAACAACCCAGGGAGGTGGCTAGAACCCCCTCGCCGATAGCGGACGAGCCAGGAGTCAAGCTACCCGAGGTGAGTAAATTACATCAAACACAACGTAGAACGTTATATTAAAATGTTGTTTAAGAAAACAAGGATGACATAATCAAGTGACAATCATCATTGAGATGTACTGTGCGGACATGAGCTGAGCTCAATTTGAGCGACTTACGTTAAGTTTCTTGCGTATAAAGTCTGTTCCAAATAAATCGCGAATTTTGGTTTACCGCGGGCTTAGAGCATATACCAAGGCATAGGCGGGCGAACCCCTTTCGCCAAAGTACATGGCCATTTGACCATGTGCGTTACATAAAAGTAGTTCACGCGCTACCGCTACCATTTTGGATCGTTACGTATCGTTAGTCGGAGCTCCCACAAAAATGGAAAACAAGGCATAGGCGGGCGAACCCCTTTCGCCAAAGTACATGGCCATTTGACCATGTGCGTTACATAAAACTAGTTCACGCGCTACCGCTACCATTTTGGATCGTTACGTATCACGAGTCGGAGCTCCCACAAAAATGGAAAATTATTTTTTTGTTACTTTGTTACGTAATGTTTTCTGTATTAAAAAAAAACTTTGAAGACAAAGAAAATTGTTTTCGCCATAACTTATTATTTTTACTTCTCAGAGTTTTTAAAACACAGTTTCTTTTAAATGGGGCCGTTCAAGTATTACGTAAACACTATAGAGGGGCAGGGGAGTCCTTGCTTTGCTTATTTTTGATGGGGGGGGGGGGGGTCGAGATAGTGATTACGTCAGCATCAATATTATGTGCGTTAAAGTCCTCTATCCTAAGCCTATTTAAGTACTGCTGCTCATGAAGCTCATGAATCAATAAAAAAAAAACAAAATACATTAAAGGAAAAATCCTTATAGGTACCGATTTTTACGTAAGCATGTGAGGTAAGAGCTTTGCTTACTTTTGCTGACAAGGGGCTAAATAATAGTAATAAATCGGCTTACGTTATACTTATAGTAGGCCCTTATACACACATCAAAAGTGTCTAGGGATCAACATATATTTTTGCAATAACTTTTCTCCTGATTGATATAAATTAAAATTTTCTTTAAGGATTCATCAAATAAAGTGTTTTCGTTTGTCACAGTAACGATAAACCAAGTCACCTTTGCATTAATAAAGAAATTTGCCATTTTCCTAATAAAGGGATTTTTGACATTTGAACCACTAACACAAAAGTTCGAAAAAAAGACTGAAATAACAGTTTTCTCTAAAATTTTATTGGGTAACGTAAACAATTAATAATCCGTATTTCTACCGCGAACACTAACAACACAAGAACATCGGTTTGGCATACTCAAAATGAGTTCATCCAAATCACGCTGTGGAATGGCCGCCCATGTTCGTTGCAACAACAAAAAAAGGTCTTCTTGCGACTGGATACCCTCCATATTCGGCAGAGCTCTTCTCTGTAGCATATCCCATGCATGCTCAATCGGGTTCAAGTCTGGCGACTGAGCAGGCCAGGGCAGGACATTGATGTTAGCTGCGGCGAGAGTCTGTCTTACAACTCTTGCGGTGTGCGGTCGTGCATTATCATGCATTAACTGAAATAAGGGACCGATTTGCACTTGTAGAGGAACGATGACGTCTGATACAATCGTCTCAGCATAAATTTGAGCGTTGAGGTTGCCTCTGATCCAAATCAACTCAGTTCTTCCGCCGATCCAAATACCCGCCCATACCATGATGGTTCCACCACTATAAGGATGGACTTCCTGGCAGGATTTTAATCGCTGTTGGCGTCCAGGGGTTCTCCAGTGTCGTATACGTCTTGTATCCGGTCTCATACCAAAACGAGACTCATCAGAAAAGCACACGAAACGCCATTGTTCTTCTGCCCAATTTCTGTGTTCAAGAGCCCATTGATATCGAATCCTACGATTGTGCATTGCTATAGGTGGTACCCGTAGCGGTCTTCGGGAATGAAGGTTCACTTCATGCAAGCGGTTTCTGACTGTTTGGTCGCTAATTAAGTTCCCTGAAGAGTGATGAAGCCTCACGGCTAACATCATGGCGGTTATTGTTGGAGCTCTTCGAGTTAAGATTTGAATGTATCGGTCTTGTCTCCGTGTGGTGCAGCGATACCGTCCTCCATGGCGCTCAGCCACGGTACCAGTGCTTCGGTATCGTGTCCAAAGTCGACCGATAACACTCTGACTTGTATTCAGAGCTAAAGCCACAGTACGTTGCCGGGAACCAGCTTCTATCATTCCCACGGCTCTGAGCATTTCTTCCCTGCTTAAATGACGTCGCCGCTCCATAATAACGTTGGTTTTAATCAGTAGTAGGGAAACAGTAGCACTAATAATGTCTTCAATGCGTTGTATGTTTTTATAGGGAAAATATTGACAGCTGATTTTCATCTTTTACTCGAATTTGATTCACAGTTCCTGATTCAAATTATGAAATGCACCAAAAAGGATCCATATAAATTTATAAAATCATAAATTTATTACAAAGCCACATCTCAATCTCAAGAAATCCGCATAAAAATGCTTGATCCCTAGACACTTTTGATGTGTGTAGTAGCGTATTTTATTGTATTACACAAAAGTAGTACCTATTCATCTCGGACGACATATACAGGGTGGCCGGGGAGTTGACGTTCAAGCGTAAAATTTAGATACTTTATGATGAGGAGTATCCATATCACCCCCATGTATGTTCTAGGATTTTGCGTAGTTTTCGAGTTATAATTTTTTAATGATTTTTTTCGTAATTACCACCTAACATCCGTTTTCGATTTTTTCTCATTCTGTTGGACGTTTCTGGTTCAGTTTTTTTGCAATAACTGACTAACATAGTCTTACCTATCACCCTAAAACTTATGGTTTATCTAGGCATTGCAGAATTCACTTAGAATTTGTTCGAAAGTTCAAAATTACGATTTGAGCTCAGTACACACAAATTTTCAAAGTATCAAAAAAAATGTAAATGGGAGGATATTGAGTTCAAAGTGCTTTCAGAAACTTCCTGAGACATTAAACTTTCAAACAAGGCCAAATAAAGAAACGGTTAATGGGGGTTTATTTTCTGTAACTTACCTTCAAAGTAAATTAAGGCATTATCAAAGGAATTATTTTATTTTATTTAAATCTTTGACTTTCTATGAGTTATGATGGATATGAGTAAAACGCAGTTAATTGTGAACAAAATACATTAATTTAAAGCAAATTTCCAAAATTTTGCCCTCCCACAGAAATACACAATCTACATCTGCGCAAAAAATTATGTTTTGGGTGCCTAAAAGCTTCACGGTTATTTTTGACAGTGGTTTCAGCTTCGCGAATTTTTGCTCTCAGTTCTTCTTCACTCGAAGCTTCTCTGGCGAACGCAATTTCTTTAAAGTAGCCCCAGATAAAAAAATCAATAGGGTTGAGGTCAGGCGAGCGTGGGGCCAGGCAATTGGCCCTTGTCGTCCGATCCACCTGTTGGGGTAGGTCACCAGACCTTAGACCACTAAATGACGACGCACTTGTGTCGCGTAATAACGTGGCGCCCCGTCGTTCTGGAATACCATCGTTCTTCTTTATTCAAGATTTACATCTTCCAGTAATATGGGTAGATTGTCTTCTAAAAAACTTTTGTATGTGTCGCCGTCTAATCTCGATGGCAGTTCAAATGCGCCTATTAATTCGCCATTCAAAACACCAGACCACATGTCAACGCTAAGACGATGTTATAATGATGATGGTCTGGCGGCATGTGGATTTTCAACGGCCCAAATGTGAAAATTGTGGATATTGAAAATCCCAGTTCGCTCAAATCTTGACTCGTCGGTCCACAAGATTTTATTAAAGTATCCGGGATCTTCTTCCTCTTTCTGCAACATAGTTCTACAGAACTCGACTCTCAATTGATAATCTGAAGGCTGCAACGCTTGTACTTTTTGTATGTGGTAGGCGTGAAATGATTCCTCACGCAAAATATCCTGTATTGAAGATCTTGGTAAGTCAAGGTTACGAGCTAATGCTCTCGTACTTGTACTACTATTGCGTTGCACTTCTTCCAGTACGATTTCCCTGCGTTCCTGATCAACCCTCTGAATGTCTTCACCGCCACGTTGGCCAGGAATGCGGCCTGCCGTTAACGTAGTGCGAGTATTCATGTACACATGATAGTCGGGGTTATGATCAGTTTGCGCTCCGCCTTGGCGTTGAAGTTGAATCCCCGTAGAAATAATGCATTTCTGCATATTCACTCAGAGTGTAGGGCATCACCAACACTTCCAAGTTACTACAATCCAAATCGTTAGGCACTACGGAATCTAGTAACAAGCAGGCGTCAAACAAGTAAGCAGCGGCGGTATCGTATCGTATAGTGGTCGAGAAAAAACGGCAGAACAAGACGAATAAGTAAGTAGTAGTAGAATTTAGGTCATTAACAACAGTGTTTTACTCAAATTCCATCATAACTGAGAGAAAGGCAAAGATTTAAATAAAAGAAAAATAATTATTTTTTTTCCTTGAAAAATGCCTTAATTTACTCTGAAGGTCAGTTACAGAAAAAAAACCCCATTAACCCTATCTTTATTTGGCCTTGTTTTAAAGTTTAATGTTTCAGGAAGTTTCTAAAAGCACTTTGAACTCAAAATCCCCCCATTTACATTTTTTTTTCATACTTTGAAAATTTGTGTGTACTGAGCTCAAATCGTAATTTTGAACTTTCGAACAAATTCTAAGTAAATTCTGCAATGCCTAGATAAACCATAAGTTTTAGGGTGCTAGGTTAGACTATGTTAGTCAGTTATCACAAAAAAACTGAACCAGAAACGTCCAACAGAATGGGAAAAAAATCGAAAACGGATGTTAGGTGGTAATTATGAAAATAATCATTAAAAAAATTATAACTCGAAAACTACGCAAAATCGTAGAACATACTCGTACATGAGGGTGATTTGGATACTCCTCATCATAAAGTATCTAAATTTTACGCTTGAACGTCAACTTCCCGGCCACCCGGCCTCTAGTCGTATTATACAGACTAGAGGAAATTAAATTTCCAGAA